TAAGATAATATACAGGAGAGAAAATATTTGCAAATCATATATTCAATAAGGAGCCTATCTAAACTATTTTATAAAGAATTCTTACAACTCAATAAACATACAATTTTAAAATGGATCAAAGATTAAGCAGACATTTCCCCAAGAAAGGTATCCAAACAGCCACTCAACATACAGAATACTATTCAACATTATTAATCATGAGAGAATAAGCCACAATGAGATACTACTTCATACTCTCTAAGATAACTATAGTCAAAGAGTCAAATAAGGATTGACAGTGTAGGAACATAAAATGGTGCAGCCACACTGGAAAACAGTCTAACAGTTCCTCAAACAGTTAAGGCTAAATTTACTCTATGACCTGGTAATTCCTAAAAGAAATAAAAACCCATGTCCACATGTAAATAAAAGTTTATGGCAGTATTATTCACATTAACCAAAAGTGAATACAAAAGCAAAAATCCACATTTTTAACCACCAAAATGTTTAAAAAAAAAAAAAAAGTGACACTACGTGGATAAAAATTGTATCATTCTACCATAAAAGGGGATGAAGTACTGCAACTAGTGGATAAAAATAACTTTTAAAATTCAGGATTTTTTTTCTTTTAGAGAGGTAGTCTCTCCAACTTCCTTGTGCTAACAATGTGAACTGCCAGCCCCTATTCTCAATTCAGAGGGCCTGAAAACTAACCTGTCTACTCAAAGGATACGCAGACACTGACCACAGGAATTCACCTCCCTCCCAGTTTCCACAATGGAAGGAAGGAACTGAGAATAGCTGGGAGATAAAAGAGCTAGAACTTTCCTTGTCTATAGTCTCACTGTCTTCCTCCCTTTTCCTCCTTTCTATAAAAGCTCTAGCACACCTGCACAAGATGAAACAGAGATTTGAGGCAACACCCAGAAGATCCCTGTATCTCCTCTGAAGCTAGCTGTGAATGCAACCCTTCCCCCCACCACCACCAAAAGGCAGTATGGAGCTGAGAAGCTGTTAATGGTACTGATACTGTAACATGAATGATCCTGACATTAAACTAGCAAAATAAGCCAGTAACAAAAGAACACGTATCGCAATTCCACAGAAACGAGCAGTCCAGCATATGAAAGTCTATCCAGAGAGTAGATTAATGATTGCTCAGAAATCATCTACCCTGGGGAGGGTAGATGGACAGTGGTATGACAGTGAAAAGGTAGAGAAAAGAACAAAGTTCTCATGAAAAAAATCAAGAACAGTCTAAATTAATGAGGACCTAGTCTTTGGTCCCACGCAGGGTCCAGGTATCTGATGTTGCACTTACTAATGTCTCATGGATGTTGCTGCCTGCTGCAGCTATCCCTCTGATGCCTTCAAATGCTTTTCAGTGGTTCCTTGTTGCATGTTTGCTTTTGTATCCACCCCTATGAATGTTCTGGAAAATATCTTCTTCATACACTGAGATCACTCTGCAAACCAATAATCATGGAAGAGGGTGCAGGCCCAACCCTGTGACACCAGCTGGAGTCATGAAATAGTAAGGCAGGGTCCATCCTATCCTGTAGTAGAACCTGAGGGTTTCCAAGGATATGGCTTTTTAGGAGCTGGGGCAGCAATACAACCCTGAAATCCTGGGAACCTCCAGTGAACCTCCAGTGAGGACGTGAACACTATGTGGCTTTCCCCACCTCTATCCTCTGGTCCTACCTTTGCAGGAATAAGGAGAGGGGGAAGGGAGGTGAAGAGACTGAAGGGAGGGAACAGAGCCAAGCAAAGCAAAGCAAAATAATAGGATAGGTCTAAATGTAAAACTAAAGACTATAAAACTGAAATAAAAATCTAGGTGACCTTGGATTTTGGCAATGAGTTCTTAACTATAACAATAAAAACATGACTCACAATAGAAATAATTGTTAAGTTTGAGACTATTAAAATTAGAAACTTTCTTACAAAAGACATCAAGGAAAAAAGACAGATTTAGAAAAAATATAAAACATACTTGATAAAAGATTCTTATCAAAATACACAAGGAACTCTTCAAACTCAACAATATGAAAACCCAATTAAAAATTGAGCAGAAGATCTAAATAGACACTTATTCAAAGAAGAAAAAATGATGGCAAATAAGCACATCACATGAAGACACTTCCAACATCATTTGTCACAAGGAAACACAAAACAACAATATACTATGTACCTATTTGAATAGTTAAAATTTAGAAAAAAAATGGCAATATCAAATACTGATAAAGATGTGGAACAACAGATACTCTTATTCATCGCTAATGGGAATGTGAAATAGTCAAGTCACTTTAGACACACGGCAGTTCTCTGAAAAGTTATGTCTCATACTATTCAGGAATTGTGTTCTCCGGTGTTTACCAGCTGATTTTAAATTACATGCACACAAAAGCCCACAGATGTATATTTATAGCACTCTAATAACTCATAAAATCAGTGCAGGTCTGAAAATTAAAAACAGAACAGTATGTAAGTATTATATCTACTGGGTGAAGTTGCTCCCTGTAGTAATGCAATTCTGACTGTACTATATATGTTCTATATACACATACCTGAGGCTCAAGAAAAGCATTCTCTCCTTCACTTCTTCCAGCTTTTTGTGGCTGGTGGCATTTCTTTACAGGTCATCACTCTGGTTCAAGCCCAGAAGCTTCAAGTATCTCTCTGGCTCATCTATATGTTCCCTTCTAAATCTGCCTTCTGTCCCTCCCTTATATGACATTTGTGATCCTTAATCAGACCTGCAAAGATCTTTTCATTTACAGGTTCCAGGGATTAGAATCTGACATATTTGGTAGATTTTGTGCTTTGTGTCCAGATGTCCCCCGAAGTCTCACATAGTCATAGTGGTGGCTTTTTAGAGATGGCTGGATCTAGAGTGCATGGCGCTGGGGTTAGGGTGTATGATTACTAAATCAGCCCACCAACTGATCTAGCATAATTCTGGCTAGGATTAAGTGTGTGAAGGCTGCTTATAAATATAAGGGACAGAAAGAGGGCCAATGTGCTACCACCTGCCTGCTTGCCATGGACTATTCTCTTTATCTTTCTCCTTGATTCTCCTCTACCATACTGACTACGGACTGAAACCTCTACAAACTATGAGCCAAACAAACCTTTCAGCATCTCACTTTGGATGCCAGGTATTTTGTCTCAGTAATGAGAAAAGTAACTAAGCCTGAGGACATTACCTCAACCTACAAGTGCTAAAACATAGTTTACCCATTTCAAGATTTATTTTATAGCTATTAGTGATTAAGGGTATATGGTCCTAGAAAAGGGATATTTTTTAATAAAATAGAATAAAGGACAAGAAATAGATCCACACAAATATGCACACTTGATTTTTAACAAAAATACAAAAACAATTTATTGAAGGAAAGTCAACCTTTTCAACAAATGAGACTATACAACCAAATATACACCAAAAAAAGAACCTAAGCTAAATCTCATCTTATCTAAAAATTAAAATAGAAATAGACCACAAATCCAAGTGTGAGATATAAAACTAGATACCATTTTTTTTTTTTTTTCCAGAACCAGGGATTGAACTCAGGCCCTTGCGCTTGCCAGGGAAGCGCATATTCCACTGAGCCATCTCCCCGGCCCCTATATACCACTTTTTTTTTTTATTTTTTTTTTTTTTTTTTATTTATGTGTGTGTGTGTGTGTGTGTGTGTGGCCAGCTCAGCTCAGCCCACCAGGGGGCGGGGCTGGCTGGCATGTGGTGCTAGGGGATTGAACCGCGGTCACCTGTGCTTTAGCTAAGCTTGTTTTAAATAGGTGCTTTAGACCACTGAGCCATCTCACCAGCCCCTATATACCACTTTTAAAGGGGAAAAAATACAAACACTCAAAGCTAGAGTCAATTCGAAGTGGCCAGAGTGTCCAGATATTTGCTTAAACATTATTCTGGATGTTTCTGCATGAGGTAAATATGTTTTAGTACACGTGCTACTAAAGCAAGCACAACGTTAACATTTTTCTAAAATGAATCCCAGGCCTGGGAGCTAGCTCAGTAGCTCAAGCACAAGGCAAGGCAATAGGAAACACAAGGTCCTAAATTCAATCCCTGGTACCAAAAACAAAAAGTGCTTCCCAGCACTGAGGATCACCAGGTAGAGGCCAGTCTGGACCATATAGTAAGACCCTGTCTCAACAAACAAAAAGGGGGCTGGATAAAGCAGATTGTTCCCCCAAAATATGGGTAGGCATCAACAAAAGACTGAGACGATCAGGCCCCGAGTCCACCCAGTACAAATGCACAAGACACTAGCACTGAAGAAACTGGAAATCACACGCCAGATATCTCTGAAATAACAGCGTTGACAGTAAGTAAAGAATCAACGGCAGAAAGGTATAGAAGAAATTAGATCAGAAATAATTTTGGAACTAAAAAATGTAGTGGTAACTATAATCAAAGAAGTACTAAGTGCTTCTAAAGAATACACTGATAAAAAAAAA